ACATCCATTTAGAGGGATTGCAAAGTGGAGGTTCCCACACAATGATTTTTAGTGACAATTAATTTGTTGAAAGTGAATGCGGGCCTCATAGACACAGCTGATTGTACTGAATTCCAATCTACTGTCTCTTGGTAATGAATCCCATTTAACTCACTAGGACCGAATAAACTGGCATGGAAATAGCCTGTATTTACCTATTACTACTAGTGCTTGCAACACATTTGCTAAAAGTATGTTAAACAATATAAAAATCTTGGTTCAGGAAGTCTGGATAATAGCTGTTTTATTAAACCCTGAAAACACGTTTAGAAAATATATTTTCCGAAAACCTTGTTAATTCATAAAAAGCATGAATCTTTATTACATTGTTTTATTATTTATTACATTTTTTTCTTCTGTTGAGAGCTACATTCTGGTAGTAAATAGGGCCTGAGCCAAAAGAGGACAGGCCTTGATTTTTCTGTCATTTTCACTGTTTAGTCTCCTTCTTCACCTCTTTACTGTGCAAGGAATCTGACACTTTAGTTTTGACATCTGCAGAGAACACTTACATTTAGGCAGAAGGACGCGCAAAATTAAGCCAATGACAAAAGATTGCCTGCTTGTGTTTTAGCAGAGGACTTAAATACTGTAGACTTGAAAATGAGAACAATTGCAAAATGTTGCAAAAATGCTTCCTGTCTCTGCTCTTCCCCCTCTAATGACCTCTGCAGTAGTGTGATTGCTATAGAGAATTATTGCTATTTTAATGGAAAGTGTTGGCAAAAAAAGGAGGAACAGAATCAAAATAAGGTTCACTTCTGCCATTTCTTTAAAAATTGAGTTAAGGAAACTATCTTTTGTCCACAATGAGTTACTCTTACTGTGCAGTGGTAATAATAAGCTTCCCATCCACTTTTGAGATCTAACAAACACTCTTTATGGAGTCTCTTTCACCCATAGAGCTCTTTGGAGATATATTCTAGAGTTCAGCTGAAGATGAAGGGAATGCTTACCTGGATTTTATAACTAATCATTTAAAAAATTCCAAAGAGGATTTTGTATTTGAGAGAGAAATTGCTACATTTCACTCTCAAAATATTGTTGAACACTCTGATTCCTTTCCTTAAGAGAAGCAATAAAGTTTCATATGGGGAGAATGCTAAGGAATTAGTAAATGTTGTATATGATATACTGTTTCCTCCTTATGGCTTCAGTTAGTCCTTCTAACTCAGCCTCTCCCCAGGGTTTTGAGCGTATGGCTGCCTTCTCGCAACAGACTGAAGCAATGAAGGACAGTGAGTTTCTTTAGGGAATGAATGCCAAGGCTTGGTGATACCATTCAAGCGGCAGATCATACATCTTACCATATAACCACTCACTACACCTCAAGCAGTAGTGAAGGGAAATGAACCCAAAGCTTTGAGGATGACAGTAGTGTGTGGATAATTTCATCAAATAAACTGAAAGAGTGCCCTTTGCCATATACCACGTGGAACACTAAGGTGCATTATATGGAACTGATAACATAACAAAGCCACATTTTATCACGTGCAAATGTTAATCATGACTACCAGCATTAAGGCACATTCTTCTGTATATTTAGGGAAGGAGAGGTGAACACTTCTTTTAAGAAGCAGCTGGAGCTTTAAAATATTACCCAGTGAAGATTGGCTCTCTTGTCCCACCTATACAAAGTGTCCCATTTCTTTGGAGAAAAAATGTGTCATCAGCTCAAGCTTAATAAAAAGCCTCTTTAAATAGAAATGGTATGCATTTTCTTTGTGAAAGTTCTCTCCGGTATCTTTTTTCCCCGTTAACTTTTTGCACAGTGAGCCAGTGATTTGGTTCCTGAGGCTGCCTTTTTATTTTTGAATTGAAAAATAAAACAACCTGAGTACTTTTTTTTTCTGGATAAAGAGTTCAAAACTCTCTAAACATACCTTTTTTTGAACAATTTTCTGCAGTTCTTGTTCCACCTTGATTTCTCTGTAAGAGTGAAAGGACAGAAACATTGTTTCTGATGCTTTGCATGTTCTTTTACAGCTGATACTGTGAATTACAGTATAATAGATCTGGAAACATACAGATGCCTGTAGTTGCCTATAAGTAATAATTACCAATGGTGCTATTTTCACTAAAAGCAAACTGTTTTTCACACTAGGAATTTTCTAACTTCATGTCCATGAACTTCTGTTTGTCACTAAGTATTATTTCAGTGGGCTTGAAATCTATCACTGGGTTGCCTCATTCATTTCACTTACTGGGAAGTTGTAAGCAGTGGCTTTGATCCAACGACTTGTTTTCAAATGCTAATGCTACAGTCTAAAAGATTTCCCAGGTTTACTTTATTTTTTCATGCTGTGAATGTGGAAGTCCTTGAGTACATTAAGAGAATGGAGAATCTTTTAAATATATGTTGCTATTTCTTGAACCATGGATTTTCTCTGCCTAAAAATGGCAATACTGTACTGGGTTAGACAGACTTCAAGAGGGTTGATTGCTATCGCTTGCTTCTTTTAATAGACAGCCTTCTGAAGTTTGTATAACTCAGAACTTTTAAATAATTATGGCATAACTAATTTGAGTTATGTGATCCTGACTCTGCTCTGTTGCTTAACAATTTCTGGAAGGACAGTCATATTGGGGCAAAAGTAACAAAGGACTTTAAAGATTAATGTTTTTCTTATTGCTTAAGCTTTAGGTGTTGTCTAGTTCGGTTTGCTGTTATGGGACTCTCAATTGATTTCCAAGTGGGTCTATCTGTGTCACCTACGTCTAACTCACCCACTGACCCGAGCTGTTTGCATGACATCCTACCCCTGGTTTTGACATAATTTGTACGTGGAACACTTTTGCCCTTGAGATCTGGCAGACCCTTGCCCTCTTAGCCTTCTGGAAAGCCTTGAAGACCTGGCTTTTCCCACAAGGTTGGAGCCCATTAAAGTGGTTTGTGGATGTGTGGGGTGTGTGTTGTTCTGGGGGATGCCAGGAGTTTTGTGAAGGTTTTTATGTTTTGTACTGTTTTAATGTTGTTTGTAAGCCACCCAGGTTTATGGTGCATAAGGTAGGCAGCTACATAAGTCTTTTAAATAAATACTATGTGAACAGTCCAAAAGATCTCTTGCTGGATCTAATAAATTCCATTCTTTACAATAATACCACAACTATGCAAGTATTTTGTTATGGAGAAAATCTGTGTGTCACTAGGAGTCAAAAATGACTTGATGGCACATAATCAGTCAATGCAGCTATTAGCCAATGTAGTGAAAACTGATCAGTGATCCACTGGTGGATGGTAGTAAAAATTATCTAGTGGCCTTCAAGATTTGTGGACATACACTCCCAGTTTTCCAGCTAGTATGTATTAGATACTGGCTGACAGGTTGTTTAGTCTTCCCCAACCTGGTGCCCTCCAGATGTGTTGGCCCTGCAATTCTCAGATTTTTCAACTCTGGGAATACTGTAAATTGTGGTCTCAAGGCATCTGGAAGATACCAGATTCAGAGAAGAGTTTCATATGGTAAATTCAGATCCAAAGCTGCTCTGATCTCTTCTAATTTGCAGTTTATTGGAGTTCATAATTTGAAGGTTCCAATGCTTAATTTATTTGAAAGAGATTTCTTCAGTACAGGGAGCCATGTGCTTGGCACGTATGCTTGGTTTTTTTCTAACAAGAGGAATGTGGGGAATGCAAGTGCAAGATAGTACACGAACTTTCTTCCCCGAGTTTTCTAGCCTGCTTTGTTTTCCTAGCTAAAACCAGCAGTGGAGAGAACCTGTTCTTTTCTGAGTTCCTTTTGCTACAGCACCATGTCTTCTGTTTCGGTTGTTCCTTTCGTGCACTGGGCTGGCGCAGCAGCAGCAGCAGTCTCCAGTGCCCTATGCGTGATGCAAATAGAAGCTCCGGAGGGAGGGGGGAAGACAGAGAATGCCGATGATTTAAGGAGGTAGGAAAAAGAAGAGGGCTTACTGTACAGAACTCAAATCACTCGAACGTGGTGGATATCAATAGCTTTCTTTTATACCTCTCATAAAAGCACTGAAGCTGTTGCACAAGAACCGATGACTCATCGCAGAGCAGCTAGGAGGCCTTACGCTCGAACTTACCTTTGTATTTTCACTCAAAATTACGGTCCCGTCCCGCTCCTTACATTTTTTCCTCCCACTTCTCCCTCCGTTTGTATTTTCCTAGGGCGGTATTTAAAAAAAAAGATTATCCATAAGTAGAAAATGTGGCATTTCCGAGAAGGAGCTCGTTTCCTAAAAGCTAGGTGCAGATCTCTGTGATAGTATCGTTTCATGCAAGATCGGTAAACTCAGCTCTCCGTGCATCTGCCTTCGCAATTAAGCCCTGCTCCTCTGCAACACGACCCTGCGCCCTCTCCCTTGCTTTGGGGGAGCTGGAGCTCGGTAGCACGTGCATGAGGATGAAGCTGCGCCTCGCCAGAATGCAATCCGGACCTGTACGCGGCTCACTGAAAAGGAGTTTCTCTCTCTCTCTCTCTCTCCAGCCCCCTCCCGAGTTTTCAACTTTGGACAGTTGCTCTGATTTGTGTCCGTGCCTATGGCGTCTTATGCGCGCGCACGAGTTACTGGCAACGCGTCTCTGTGCCCGAGCAGAAATCGGAGTAAAAGTCTCTTCGAGCAGGGAGAAAATCAGCGCTCTTCCTGGCAAAGCAGCGTTTCCAGTAACGTGATCAAGCTCTTCCCCCTGACCTTGTCGCTCGGTGGAGATGCGAATGCGCGCCAGAGCAACTGGATCCCCCTGCCAAGCCAACGTATATTTGATAGCCGGGCTGGCAGGCGCGCTCTCGCTCGTACACGCAAACTCTAGGGTTACTGGATGGTTATTAAAAAAGAAAAAAAAACTTTCTTCGCCTAATATGGTAACAGGAAATGGGCGTGACTTCGGCCTGCTGTAGGGTGGGGAAGCCTGAACAGCAGGCAGTTGTGCTGATGAAGTAGAAGAGCTGGTTTTACTTCTGTTGCAGAGCCGATGTGCGGTTTTTTTTTTCCAGCAAGCGACTGCTCCAGTTTCCTTACTTGAGAGTTGTGCAATCTCTTGCTATCAGGAGGAGGGACGGAAGGGGGGAGAAGGAAAAGAGAGAGAGATCCAGCTTCCTCTGCTGCTGCAGTTGTTGCCGCCTTCGTCGCTACAGTTCTCCACTTCGCCCCCCCCCCTTCTGTTTCCCAAGCTGTGATCTCAAATCTGTGACTCAGAGACTTGCAATCCTGACACCGCAAAGTGCGGTTGGCGGAGAAGGCGACGAGCAGCGAGGCTTTCGCTCGGAGCAGGTACGCTGCAGGACTGTGCGCAGGAAGAAAACTGAGCGACCGGGGACGAGCCACTGCAAGTGATACTTCCCCCCTTCCCCAAAACTTTCTGGTTTCTTTTCAAGTAGCCTTTAGAGCTCTCTCGGCGCTTGGTTGGTTGCCGGGGATTTTGGGGGGTGGGGAAAGGAAGAGGATTGGGACCTACGAGAGGACTGAAGGAAAGAGCGATGGGGGACTAACCTTCTGACTCAAGACACCGCGGAGGTAAGTGGAAGTCGAAAGAGCTTTCTGCCTCTCCACCCCCCCCCCCCCAGGAAACCGCAGCGCGTGTGGGGTCGGTGCTTTTGCAGCCCTGACCGATTTTGCAAGGGAGCAGCTGGGGGCGGAGGGGGCGTCGAGAGCCCGGGCGAACTTTTCGTTGGCTTTCCGGTGTCTCTCAGGCGCCTGCACGAATGCGTGGCGTGGCTCTTGTTTGTGCAGCTAAGCGTTTTGGCCGGGCGAATGGGCGGCCGCGGAAAGGAGGGCTCTTCCCTTCAGAACCGGGAAATGAGATGCGTGCCTACGGAGTTCTAGTTAAAGGGCGGCTGGCTCGTGCCGCTGGGAATTAGACGGGGAGTTGCGGGGGAGAAAAGACCATTCGAATTGCCTCGCCTTCCGATCGTCACATACTTCCTGTCGAAGGGCGCCGCAATTCCAGTCGCTGCTACTTTGCGCCCCCCCCCCATTTTAATCTAGTGGCTTTTAGAACAGATTAAGGCGGATAACAAGGAAGCAATCGTTAAGATATGTTTTGTGTCTGTAGAAAATTGGACAGTATTTCCTCTTTCAATTCCTCCCCCACCGGGTTTTGTCGTCTTTCCCCCTTGGTTACCAGTTGACACTGTTTTTCGGAGAAAAAGGCACGCTTCTCTTCAGCCCATCCCCGTGGGACTTCTGCAGATCGTTCCTAGTTGTTGATCTGACTTGTGAGGAGATAAATTAGAAGACTCCTTTATAGCTAATGGTTCTTTGTGTACCTGTCTCGGAATGGCAAGTGCTTTCCATTTGTGGGAAAGGGCTTGTAGAAGGAAGCATTCCTTTTTGAATTTGTTTAGTGCATAAACTACATGAATGCTTAGGCCAGAGATAGATGTGCATGAAGAACACAACTGTTGCCCTCCCCCTGCTCCACTTGCACGAATTTGCTTGTGTCCAGAAGTGTGAAGAGGTGAAAAAGGAATGTGTGCAAAGCCCAGGAGGGTGTGTGTAGAAGCTCAGGTGATTTCTGGAACCCTGATCTCATCTTGCCTTAGTGGCTGATGGGTTGCAGCAGTGGCAGTAATGTTGAAAGGTATGTGTAATCAAAGTCACAGTGACTTCCCAGGGCGTGTGGCTAGAGTTGTAGCTGGTGACATCATCCAAGCTGTTCTAGTTCCTGTGGAAATCAATGAGAGCTTTGCTGTTTAGTAGAGGAGCGTAATTGGTGCTCATACTTGGAGCACTGCATTCTGGAAGTACACCTGCATTTTGGCTTGGAGCTGGGCAACACCGATCTGTTTCCTGATGACCTGAGAGTCAAGGTGAATTCATAGGCTATGACTGTACAAACATTAACGCCCTTGCCCAATGAGGGATGCGTTGTGTCACAGGATGTTCCAGGTTGGCTCATTTGGGACTGTCACTTTCACATACCTGAACTGACTTCAGTTCTCTATATGCGTAGTTGTGAGGGTACTTTTGTTTCTGCTTGTTACTAGTTTTACTTTAATCATTCTGGTAAGACTAAAAATAGCTCTGAGAAGCAGAGAGGTAAAAAGACTTTGTGTGAGTGCTTTTTCTTTCTAATATTTTGTGGAATTGGTAAACATGGAAGTTACAACTTTGATTCAGTCTGTGCTTCTGGACCAAAAGCTGGAATTTTAAACATGATGCCATACTTGCATGGCTTTTAAGGTTCCATGAAACTCCGAATTCCTGAATGTGATGGCAGAGAGGCTAGTTGGTTGGCTCACCACTTCTTGTCCTGAAAGTTAGGTTTTTAAGAGATATTTATTCTACTAAGCTGGATCAGTTGTCAACTGTCTGAGGGCCTGCTTGTATTACTTTGGCACCCACCAGAGTGCATGACACTGTCTCATTTTATTTTTTATTTTTAAAAAGCAAACTAGGTGGGGGCTGGAAGTAGTTGAGAACAAAATGAGGGCCTCTGCTAGTGCCATCTTTATTTCTCAAGTGTGCCTCTGAACCCTGTGGAGGTCCAGGATGTTCCTGATGAGCAAAAATGATGAAACGTTGGAAGCCAGGAAGAAAAAGAGACCTCAAGTGTAGTCATCTTGTAACCTGGGGTCAGAGTAGGAAGGCCAGTGGGTCCTGTTGCATGAGGAGACCAATGGATCAGGGAGTAGGGCAGATGTTGAGAGGAAAGGGATGCGGGCGTGTCATATTGTATGTGCTGTGGATGTGTACAGTCAAGAAATGTCTTTTCTGTAATCAACAGTTAGTATTTCTGTGAAGTGGGGCTTTTTGTTGAAGCAACATTCCCCCTCCCCTTCTTGCTGCTTTCTGTTCTGCAGCCATCAGTTAATTTAGGTATTTTATGAATGGCCTCATTTACCACAAGAGCCATTTTGTGAATAGGTACATCTCCTATGGAAGGATTTATTGCCCATAACATCTTTTTATTATTTCAAATGTACCCACTGGTCCAAAAAAGTTAGTTCCTTGTAATTAAATTATTTATATACTTATTATTCAGGGGATTGGTTTCTTGCAGAATTTTAAAAAGATACCAAATTTTCTGCAGTTTTATATCTGAAGATATTCATATGTTTCAATTTTACAGTCTGTTATATCATTACATGCTAATTAATTCTAAGCAGAGGAAGTGTTGATCTGGAAGACAGCTGGCTCTTAATGCTTTTAGTGACTTTTTTTTGGTACTAATCCTTTCATACATTCAGTGGGACTGAGGAAGAAAGAAGGATTTCTCCCTCCACCTCACTATATAGTTTTTTTTAAGAAACTAAACAAAAATACCCACATTTTAGATCCGGTATCTCAGAGGATGTTGTGATCTGGTTCTGGAGGACTTTTCCATCAGTCCATTGTCATGGATGGAAAAGGATCCAGCAGGTTTCTGGCAGTACTGGAAAAGTAACCAAGTGATCCAGAGGGCATTTCTGTTGGTCATCTTGTTGATTGCTAAAATATAGAGGCAACCAGAATACTTGATAGGATTGTCCCTGGGCCTCCTCTCCCTGCCTACCACTTCTGTGCAGCTCCTTGGTTTATTGAGAAGCTCAGTTCAGTTCATTCTGGAGTCATCTTTTTCTTCGTTCCACGCCTGGTAGCACACTGGAAAAATAGGTATCATGGTCCACCTAGAGCTCTGTAAGTACTGAATAGTGTTTCCCATGTAGTGGTCTAGATTTGAACTGTCATATCTCAGCATCATAAAACATGATACTTTTGAGTGGCAGTAGAAACCGAGCTCCATTTCATCCTTTTAACATTTGAATGCCACATGTATTGCCTTGGTGCCATTGAGTAAACCATGCTCAACTCATTCGTTTCCAATCTGTGCTCTTCAGATCTGTTAGACTTCAACTCTGAGAAGTTCCAGCAAGCAACATCTATTTGGGGAAATTAAGGGGATTCAGATCCAGCACAGAGGCTGCAGTTGTAACATTTTTTTGAAGTACTGTGGAATTGTTTTCAAACTGGTTCCAAAATGAACCCTAATGACATTTTGTACAGTTCTTCTAAACATCTGTGTAAATATGAAGAACTAGTAGTATTGTTTAAGAACTTTTGGTGAGGCCATTTTTGCAGTCTAGCACCTTACAGAAATAAGGGTAGAACTGAATTTTGAAGCCACTGAAGCCAAAACCATAATTTTTTAAAATATAACAGTGCTGAAATACTATGGCTAATGCATCTGGCATATTGAATTGTGAAAAAGTAACAGGATGGTTTTATTTTAATTTCTCAGAGTATATTGGTCGTTAATAGGGAGTCAAAACATTTTTTTAAAACTTATTTAAATTTTAGAAACACAAACCTGCAAAAAACTCTCAAAGGCAGCTACTGTTTTCCTCTGAAATGGACAGAAATTAATGCAAGATCTCAGTAACCTATGTATGCAAATCTCTTCCTGGATAGGCTAATATTTTAGCATGCCAAATAACAGTACTATAGTTGAACTGTGTGCAGACACAGGCTTGAAAGTAGCTTGCATCATTAATGAGACTTATCAGGAGAACTCTGCTTTGTACTGAATAGCTTTATTCAGGGTGACTCTTGGCTGATAAAGTTATAAGAATGCTGTTGGGCTTAAGTATGGAGACAGCAATTAATATTGGTGGATTAAAAATAACAAAAGGTTTGAATGTTAATGAATTTGCCTTCAACAAAAGGAGTTTGTATCAGAGTGTACTCACAGAACCTCAATTGCAGAAATGTAATATTTAGATTTTAATGCTGTTGGCAGATTGGGATTTCATGGGCAAAATTGTTTCTTACAGTTCATTGCTGGCTTGTCTTGTCAAACTAATAGAATGTGCAGTTTTTGCCAGATGATGACGTTTGTTGGCATGGCACTAACTGGAATGCAGAAGGACGGATTTATACTAGTATGTATGAGAAAATGTTAATGCTGTGTTTCATTTCACAGCCCATTAACAGTTTATGAAAGCTTAAAGTGAAAAGGATGAAAGATGTAGGTAACTAAATAGAATTAGATGCTTAACTTATTTTTATCCTTATCGTTTACGTACGTGAGTAATGTACACCTAATAGGCTATATAATCTATTATCTTATGTACGTGAGTAATGTACACCTAATAGGCTATATAATAGGCTATATAATCTATTTCCAACTTTGCTTCATTATGTAATTTTGGTTGCATCCCTCCTTTTTTATAAAAAAGAGTAGTTTGCTTGTATTGTTTGATATACATGGGTCCTGAGATAAGTAATGATCCTTTGCTTGTATGAAGCAAACTTCAGCTATTCATATACAGGTAGTCCTCACCCACCGCAACTGAGATGAACAACTCCATCACTAAGTGATACGGTTAAGTGAAAAATCACATGACCATGCCCTACTGGCAGTTTGTCAGTTCTGGCTGTAGTCATTAAGCAAATCACCCGTGGCTGTTAAGTGTGATGTCACATGACCGTGACTTGCGACTTCCTACTGGTTTCCCCATTGACTTTGCTTGTCGGAAGCCAGCTGTGAAGGTCATGTGATCATGGGATGCTGCAACCATCATAAATGCATGGTG